TATGGATGGAACATTTAAAATTTGACCAAATTCAATTAGCTTTTTTATTAAAGGGGCACTAGCTGCGAGCAGGAACATATATATTGACGGGACTTGACACTAACTGATTGTAGTCGATTTTATCGTCGTGCCATAGTTAATAAAGATACGATACAGAAACGGACATGTGTTAAAAACGGACTCGATATTATCCTTATAGTTTCTGATATTATCAATAAAATGTCATTCAAACTAGTTTTATAGTGATGCTAGTGTATCAAACTTGTATTCTGTCACTTCAAATTTGTTAAAATCGCAAGCATTTCATCACTGAATTGTGCAGAATGCAAACAAGGTAATAAAAACAATGGCGGCCATTGCCGCGATGATTTACAATTCCCAAACTATTATAAAACACTTCACATCAAATAAATCAAACTTATTTTGGTAATTTTATATGACAAAATATATCTACTAAATGATAAAACTTGTATTTATTTACAATTAGAGTTATGTCGTTTATTTGTTGAGCAGTTCTGATAGTTTTTCAGTCAGACGCTACCAAAATCCGTAAGTCTCGGGAAGTCTCGGGGAGTCCGAGATTTTATCAATTTTATACTGAAAAGCGTATCAGATTCATTTCCCGTTAGATATACTGTTCCCAGCTGCGAGATATAAAAAAAAATGAATATGATTTTGTTTGTTTCAATCATAAATAAAAATGAAATAATGAAATAAAATTAGCTTTTAGCAGCCAACTTGGTGCAATTTTGTCAAAATAATCAAAGAAACATCGGTCATGAATTATTCACTTGCAAGTGAATAATTCGACCTCATTGAATCCGTATTCATGTGACCTTCAATTCAACCTATTATCTAGAGATTGGTTGCGCATGTATAAGTCATGTTCAGCCATTAAAAGGAAAAGAATGTCAACATTGAAAGTGAAGCAAAGGTGAACCATTTCGTTGACTGATTCGATCCACAAAAAAATCATTCTTATACAGGTAAAACCGATAATTAACTTATTTGTTAATCTATAACATGATATCAAACAGACCTGAAAAACTCCAATTGCACGAGGTCGCTACCTATTTATATTTATGTTTATGTTTTAATATATCGGGTTTTGTGACCGTCGACAGTCTCTGGAGGTCATCTCGATAGTTAATAAGATGGAGTCTAGACTAAAATACACACGAAATTCTGATATATTTAGTTTTTTTCAGACTTATTGTAATTTGGATATATGTTTTAGTATGTTATAAATCAAATATAAGAATTTTAGTCAAATCGGTGAACATGAATTTGACAGCCAAGGCCCATTTAATGGATTTAAAATTGGAAATTATATTCCTATTGCTATACCTTATTGTACCCAACTTAATGGGGAAATTACCAATCAACGTACCTCGATTCTGCATGATGCCCAGCTTAAACTGTTATTTGGCCGTTTAAGTACTATTCTCAATCTTTAACTTGTATAAGAAATGAGAACTTATGAAGAACAGACAAATAGAGTGTTATTGCTATAAGGTACCTGGTCGGTGTGGTATTATACAAATTAAGATAATCAGATCCGATGGCATTGAACGGTTATAGCCCTATTATCCAACAAAAGAGAACCGGAATGAGTCATGCAAATCCAGTATTTACTATACCAATTAAAAAAATAATTATCCTATAATTAAATAATGATTTAAACGTTTTCGTAGCATCAGATCTTTTACGATCCTTTTCACTATCTTCAAAAAGCGGTACGCAATATTTCACGATCCGAAAAATCAATATTTTGTAAATATTTCATTTTTTGCAAAATTGATGATTATGCTAACACAAATTAACTTTAAGGACCATTTGAATCATTAAAATGGAATGACAGTTTACAAAGAACAGTTGTTTAGTCATTCGAATTATGAAAAAAAATCTTGTTTGTTTACATATTTAACGTCATTGAAATGTCAAGGAGCAATCTGCCTTTTGTAATTTTGTAAAAACGATGTACTTTTAAACTTTGATTTTTCTCAGATACTGATCATAATGTTGAATCATTTTGACAGAAAGTTTTATTTTTTTGTAAATTTTCTGTATAGTTCATTAAATTAAGAATAGTAATTGACCTTGCAAATGTCTTCTCAGTAAGATTTCATTTGTGATCCTAATTATTTTGATCTGAGCGTCACTAATGAGTCTTATGTAGACGAAACGCGCGTCTGGCGTATTAAATTATAATCCTGGTACCTTTGATAACTATTTACACCACTGGGTCGATGCCACTGCTGGTGGACGTTTCGTCCCCGAGGTTATCACCAGCCCAGTAGTCAGCACTTCGGATTTGACATAAATATCAATAATATGGTCATTTTTATAAATTTCCTGTTTACAAAATTTTGAATTTTTCGATAAACTAAGGATTTTCTTATCCCAGGCATAGATTACCTTAGCCGTGTTTGGCACAACTTTTTGGATTTTCTTGGTCCTCAATGCTCTTCAACTTTGGACTTGTTTGGCTTTATTTTAAAACTATTTTGATCTGAGCGTCACTGATGAGTCTTATGTAGACGAAACGCGCGTCTGGCGTATTAAATTATAATCCTGGTACCTTTGATAACTATTTACACCACTGCGTCGATACTACTGCTGGTGGACGTTTCGTCCCCGAGGGTATCACCAGCCCAGTAGTCAGCACTTCGGTGTTGACATGAATATCAATTATATGGTCATTTTTATAAATTTCTTGTTTACAAATTTTTGAATTTTTCGAAAAACTAATTTCTTCTTATCCCGGGCATAGATTACCTTAGCCGTATTTGGCACAAATTTTTAGAATTTTGGGTCCTCAATGCTGTTCAATTTTGTACTTGTTTGGCTTTATTATAACTATTTTGATCTAAGCGTCACTGATTAGTCTTATGTAGACGAAACGCGCGTCTGGCGTATTAAATTATAATTCTGGTATCTTTGATAACTATACCAGAGCTTTCACGATCCAATCGCAATACTTGACCACCGTAAGGTATTCTTTCATGATCATTCTTCTCGATAAACCGTATGACACCCGTGTAAACATTCATATATATCTAAATAAATCATATACAGAACTATCAATCAAAATCGCAAGTCAATGACCAGCTGAAAGAACTAGAAAACCACACTCCACAAAAACACATTGACAACTAAACACTGAAGAGCCATTTTGAAATTTCAGAAGAAAAGTTCATCTTAATATATATACAAAAATTGATATTCCAAGTCTATGACATCCATTTTATATCAATCAATATCTTAAAATACCACATTTCATATACTAAATCAACAACCACATGCACACATATTACCTTAAATTAGGATAGAGCGAAGCAGTTCACAGGTTTTTAGAAAGCTCAAACTTGTATTATCTATGTAATAAAAATGTGTAAGACCGGATGTGGTTGATTAAAGATGGTATCTTCAATGGTGTTAGGTATTTGTACATGCCTTTGGTTTAATCCAGTATAATCGTCTAATAGAGACATTACACGTGTCTCATATCATTTTAAAACATTTGAATATTTTAACCATCACAAATGCATTCCTCATTCTAGATTTAAGACCGATTGAAAGATTTCAATGTTGTTTCATTCGATAAAAAAAGTCTATATTCAAGAGATTATTGAGAGAAATTAAAAGATGCTAGAAATATCCTGTTACTTCAATGTTCTGGTATATTAAATAATGAAAGTTAGGTAACTATGATGATCGCATCTATCCCGTTGAACAGGAATCAACCGATTTCTCTGACGTCACTCTATTGTTTCAACTTTAGATTATATTTTAAGAATCCTCCGATCACTGTGTTCACTTTAATTAACTAATAATCTAACTGTTAACTTACAACTCTTAAACTCTTAAAAACGAAACTTCGTGTTCCCTCCGATTCTGTTTAAATTAGGCTAGTGACGGTGTCATACAATATTTGATAACTTGTACTTTTGAACCCTCAGATGATCATAATTGCGCATACATGCCAACAAACTGTATTGCAATTCTTTGAATTATGAAACATATATTATGTCTAGGGGTTTTTCGTCTTCAAGTTGTTTTAATTTGCGTAGTGATTTACTTATTGTTGGTTTTTTTGTCAACTAAAGGAAGATAACATTTGACATTTGACCATTCTAAATTAAAGCATAGGATAAGTATTAGGAATTTACGAAATAATAAATCAGATCAAATATTTAGCAATATCAAAAAATATAATGACAACGAAAAGAAAAATAAATGAAAAATTTCTCTGAAAACATAAAAAAAGCCTTTCCGGATGTCCGGATTGTCAAGATTTGTTCCGAATGTCATAACCATAATAACGTCCACTTTTCTTGTATTATTACCGAATGCGATTTACCAACTACTTTTTACTTGACGAGCAACACGACGGGTACCACTAATGAAGCAAGAAATGTTTATCCTTCCGGAGCACAAAATTTTACCTCCTGACTTTGGTGGGGTTCGTGTAACTCAAGTTTTGTGAAATGTTATTTTGTCTTCTCTTCTTTTTTTTATGTTTACACTCGTGTTTTTCTTCGAATTATAGTTTGTGATTGGCTTTTCCCCCCCTTTCCATATATTTTCTATATAACAAGCTTGTCTAATGAGTCAAATATTCTTATACTAGTATCATATTAGGCATCCTGGCTGGCTTTTGATTAGTATAAAATTAATTTTAGAAATAAACTAAATTGTAAAACAAAAACAATATTTTAAGGTAAGTGTCATCGAGAGAGAAATACAAAGATTTCATATTTTACATAAACTATTTTTAACAGACTTGTAGAAAAATAATTTTCACCTATAGAATTATTTTATACATGTAATAATAATTTCATAGATTCATTATGTTTTAATGGTTCATTGTTGAGTATAAATCAGAATTCATTATCAAAATGGAAAACCGGATGGTTTTTAAGTATTCATCTTTAATATATACTTAACTTTTAGCTTCTTGCTTAGTATTTATCTGAACAATTTCATATTTTATATAGGAAATGATTTTTCAAAGAGAGTCTTTCTGACTGGAGAAATCACAAACATCAATGACAAGGAAGTCGTAAAACTAAAATGTCAGTCATCAAAGGCACCTATTCTTCATCTCGTCGAGTTTTTAGTTGACAGCATTACCGTTGACAATGTAAGACTTGCTGAAGGAAAATGTTATAACAGTACAAGAGAATGCAATGATATGATATGCATGTGTTCAAAAGATGGAAGGGTCTTTACTTGGATATATTATCCATTAGATATGTTAAGAGCACATATATTTGGATGTCAAGTTCGAATTTTAGATGAGAAAAACAATACTGTCAAGACTACTGCAAACTTGCAACTCATTGGATCAGGTAATGCTTAAATTTCATCAAACCTTATCGGGTATATGTCCACAGGTTTCCCCATGAAATTGACTTATATCTATATTGATGTCTTGTTGCATTAAGCTTTTTGTTTTGTTAATATGCTTAACTTCACATTTTCCGCAATTTGGAACATGCCTGATTTAAAACAAAAAGCTTAATCTTTGAATGAGAGCGAAGAGACGAAAGAACTTTACGAAAGCCATTAGTATAAAATAAAACAACTATCTATTAATGATTTACGGAAGCCCATTTAGGACCTTCCAAAAATATAATTTGAATTCGAAATCACGAATTTAAATCGTTATCACGAATTGTAAACAGATTAAATTTGTGATAACGAATTGGTGGAAATCGTTATAACAGATTTTATAATTCGTAATTACGAATCAAATTCGTTATCACAATTTTTTTTGTAATTTGTGATAACGAATTAAAATCGTTTTAACGAAAAGCTAAATCTGTTGTTCCGGTGAGCTAAAAATCTGTGATAATGAATTTTAATTCACAAATTACAAAAAAACTGTGATAACTAATTCCACAAATTCGTTATCACAAATATAATCCGTTATAATCAATTATACAATTCGTAATAACGAATTACAAAATCACGTAAATTGTTTTATTTTTCATTAAGAAAGGACATATAGTCACTCAATATGTGCTTACTTGACATCTGGATAAACAGTTATTTCTCTTTATATACATTAAAATGAACGTATGAAATAAAATAATGGGTTTATTACGGAAACCTTTTAGGGCCATGCTAGTTTACTTTTTTCCAAAAATTAATAATTTGATATAACAAATTATTAACTTGATATAACATATTATCAATTTGATGTAACAGATTATCAATTTGATATAACAAATTATTAAATTGATGTAACATATTATCAATTAGATATAACAGATTATCATTTTGATATAACAAATTATAAATTTCATTGAACTGATTATCAATCTGATATAACAAATTAAAAATTTGATTTTTCAAATTATTAATTTGATATAAGTTGTGAAATTATCATAATCTGTTATATCAAATTGATAATCTGTTAAATCAAATTAATAATTTGTTATATCAAATTGATAATTTGTTATATCAAATTGAAAATCTGTTATATCAAATTGGAAAAAGTAAATTAATATGGCCCTAAAAGGCTTCAGTAGTTTATAGATTCTAGCCACATTTGATTTGTTTTCCATATGAAAATATGGTACAAAATAGTGTAAATACAAACTTTACATAATAGTGTAAATACAAACTTGGGTTAGCTAACTATATCTGCAAGGAATATTTATGGCTAGGATGATAAAATGATTGATAAATGTTTTGTTGAGAAAAAAAAATAACTGACTTTCATATTCATGTACAAAGTGGGATTGGAGTTGTTTTTCTCCTCCTTTCAAAAAGGCGTCCCATATCTTTAACTCGTTTAAGCCAATAGAAACTAAGCAGCATCAAGAAACCAATCAGAAGTAACTTTTGTTAGGTTATTATTTCAAGATGGCATGTATATCGTATGAAACTAATTGATGCGAAGCAATAAGTTTCATACATCCGAATCGCTTTTCTGGATTTACCTTCAACAGGAACGTTCAAACCTAAATATTTGTGAAAGTAAAAAATATTGATTTTGAAAATTATACTTTTTTTCTGAAAATCAAAGAGAAGTCATTTAAGCTACATAAGATCTATATACTGGCTTTCCATACACTCGGCATCCTCAAATATCCTTTTTATTTTAGAAAAGGAACTCTTAATATCTATTTCCTATACTTAAAATGATAATATATGGAAGAACAAGCTATAGGAGTTGTCTAATTGGCACTCATACCACATCTTCTTATTTATATACAGGAGTATATTCCATGCCGAAAATAAGTACTTTCAATTGAAATTATACGTGCACTATTTTGTACAGCATGCATCCTTACTTAAAAGAAATGTATCGACAGGGGAAAAGACTATTGACTTTAAAAAACACGTACACTTTGAACAAAAAATATTTTAACAGCAACTTTTAACCCCTTACAATTCCCAAAAGGTTCTAGCAAAATAAAACATTTCAGTGGGGTCTGCCCTACGTTATTACGTTTCATTTGAGCTCGAGCCATGTCCGGTACAGAACTTTGAAGAACAGAGTTGGCGAGGCTTCCCGAAAGAGTGTATGGTAGATCCGTAAAATAAAATTTAACAGCAACTTTGAACCCCTACAATTCCCAAAAGGTTTTAGCTCCCAACAAAACATTTCAGTGTAAAAAAAAAACGACTTAAAGCAAGTCTCAACAGAAGAAGACCCCAAGTCACCAAAAGGTATTTTTCAAGCGTTGGATCCCTTTTATTTGATGGTGACTTAATTATACCCCCAGAGACTGAAGAAGGTCTTTAATTATACCCCCATAGACTGAAGAAGGTCTTTAATTATAAAACAGTTATTGAAAAACTGGTCATTATTGTGATATGTGGACTGCCCACAAGACAATGGTATTGACTAAGACAGCGATAATGACCGAGCCGCAGTCAATACCACTGTCCTACGGGTAGTCCATGTATCACGATAATGATCAGTTCTTCAATAACTAATAGCAAGATAAGGTTTACATATAAGTTAAATGGCCGAAATTGTCAGTTGAATCCTTACTGGAGTTATTGCTCTTTAATGATGATGTATACCCATTTTTAGATAACAAAAATTATCAGCAACACAAGTTTTCAAATTAGTCAACAAATACGTCAGTCGACCTCTTTTCGGAGTGCTTGCTCTTTAATAACAATATTTACATTTGTTTGCGTTTTGCATATTATCTTGAAAACTACGAAAGATAGATAGACACTTTAAATATCAAAGATGATCAGCAAGACATAATCTACAAGTAACTCACATTTTGCCCTAATTATTAGTAGACACTTTTTTTAGAGTGATTGGCCTTAAATAACGAATTTTTAATTTTACCCTTTTTTGTGTTTTTGGGCAAAAACTAATTTTTAAAAGCAGAAAGAGAGAAACTGTAAACAGAAAAAAATTATCAGCAAGGGGCTTTTGTCATTAATTCTATTCTATTCTACAATATTGGAGAGTGTCTATTGTTGAAGATGCACATTGACCTAGGTGAGCGACACATGCACTTTAGAGTCTCTCGTTATATATTTAAGTGCTTTTCCATACTTTTGATTGCACGTTTTAACAACTCTGATAAATTCTTCTATCCCGCTACACAAGATAAATACAAGAAGAGATACGATCTACAGAAATATATTTTAACCCAGCTACATATATATGCTTGTTCAAAGTGAGGAACATTTTAATGACTGTCTTTTATCAATTCGAAATAATTTTGTCCTTCGAGGAACTTGTTTGGGTTGTTCTCATTGTTGAATGCAGTGCGGTAACTTATAGTTGCTTACATCTACGTCTTTTTGGTCACTGGTGTATAGTTGTCTAATTGGCAATTATACCACATCTCTTTATTTTTGTTTTCAGTTGGTATTAATGGCTGATCTTTGAATGTCTCTGAATCAATTGATTCACAACTTTTCTACCCTTAAAGCACTTCAGAGCTTATGATTGAAAGTCGTCTCTTGGTATCTTTTGTTTTTTTGTATTGTAAATGCTATCTCAGGAATGTATACCCCACATCGTGGTTTTCTTTCGAATTGACATGTTCCCCCACATCTCTTCTACCAATATTGCATACAAACGAACCAATTTTATGACCGAGGGTGAATATACGAATGTTCATAGATTAAGCATCAAAGCACACAAAAATATATTAATTCTGATTAATATTTCAGATTTTTTGATACAACACCCAAAACATGAAAACGTTGTAATAAACTCGGTAGAAATTACAAATTCGGACGGTAACGACAGCGGTAAGTAGTTATATAATCAAAAGAGAGCGGGAGAACTGTTCAATTGAAAATTTCTATCTTTCTGTATTCAGAAAGGGGTAGACATAGACACAGATAAAGAATCAGTACTAAATACATAAGGGGGAATAATACAATATTTTCATGAAAACACTAAAAGGATTACATGATTATTTTTTACAATACTCAACATAAATTATAAAGTGGAAAAGAATCTGAACTACCCAAGATCAAATTGTAAATGTCAAAATTGATTTACTTTGAGGTGTCAGACCACCAATTCAAAATCCCTATCTATTCAACTAAATTTTGCAATTTTCACAGCTTTCTAAATATTTCACCGTAAGTTTAACTTCATAGACACAAGATATATCCTAAATTGTACATGTATCACCTTTATACATGCCAATTTTCAACCCATGTTTAAAGTCTTCTAAGAAAAAATTGCCCATCACAAGATAAGTACTACTAAAAATAACCCCTGGTTATCTGGAAATCTTAAATTAGTGTGCTATGGAGCGCATTGATCCTCAATTTTTAATGCAAACTCATAGAGAAGTAAATTTTGACTCAAAATGGTCTAAATATATTTCTGTTTCACCAAAAGTTTTATTTCTGCAAATTTGTTGGTTAGTTTTAAGTAAACAATGACATCAAAATCACTATTTTGTGTCAGAGTAGGGCTACTTTTACATACGTTCTAAATTGGAGGGAGTAAATTGGTGGTCTGACACCCAAACATTCAATCTAATTTTGAATCTACTGATTAATTCAATTATTTGGTATTTAGGCCTACTGCAAACAGATTACCAAAATATTCGTCTACAACACGGCAGAAGTTTTGAAACCAGCATTGTTTATGCTTAACATCAAAGATAGTTTTTTTTCTATATATTTCAATAGAGGCTACTATTAGGCAAAGCCATTGCTAACTAAAACACTCTGAAAGTATCCATAATTTATACTTTATCCTATATGGGTAAGTGACACAAGCTCTTTTGAGCCTGTGGTTATTACATGCAGACGACAATAAAAATGTTTACTTCCGAATATCCTGATAGTATTCTTTTTTTTAAAGAAAACTATTAAGCTAAACTCCGCCAAAATTCTGCTACTGATCTATTTTTTGTTTTTATTATTTTCATTATTTTTTATTATTGACAAGTTTCTTGTTTCTTTTCATTAGAAAATAGATGATATTAGTGTTCACATTGATTAATGGTATTATCACTCTTATATCTTCTCGCTCTTTATACATCTGCTAAAATCTACTTTCTGTTGAATTGTATCCCAATGGTCGAAAGTAACATTGTATATTTGATATACAAAGTAATTTAATGAAATATTTTAGGGTTAAGTCCAAAATTAACCGTCCTTTGTTATATTTTCTTCTGATATGAAGGTCATAGTGACTTCAAACGAATAGTATGATTAATACAATATGCTTTATCGTAGTCTATGATTGGAATATTTATTATGCATGAAAAATATCTGATATCGGTACAAACCTACTTTTACAAAATTATGTCGCCGATTTAAAAATATTTAAGGACCATCCCTCCAAATTGTGAATGCATTGCAATATTAACTTAGTTGTAAGCCCTATTAGGGACGAGACTGACTTGTACAAAAAAATTACAAATAGAACCAAGATTTTGTGAGTAATGTACCGATGTGATAAATAAAAAAACATGTTTTACTTAATTGTTCGTTATTTATTGGCTCGAGGCAAAACTTTAAATTATTTAATTTTTTGTACCTAAGAGTTGCGGCTATATTGCATTCATGTTGTCTCTCCGTCATACTTTTCTCATGATCTACAGAACAGAAAGTCTCATATTTCGTCAGCATCATGACAGTGATGAGTTGTAACGTTTCAGTACTTCGGAAATTTAACACTTACGTCCAGTTTGCAGATACATAGAACTTTTCAATGGTTTACTCCTGGTTTGCCCACTTTTAATTATACCAATAAGCTATTAGTAAAGAAAACAAAACAGACAAAAGGTTTAATGAGCATACAATTGTATAGTCTGTTCCAACATAGGTATATATATAGTTTATCAGTGTTTTCTATATATTCAGGTATTTTTCATTGTGTATTTCCATTTTCATTTGTATAGATAAATAATAAATAATCAAATAGTTTTTCTCTCAATAATTTAATATCAATTCAATCGATTCATTTAACATACATGTAACTGCGAGTACTCTCAAATCGTACTTTCTTGTTTATTTGACCTGTTGATACTAATTGTAATGCTTTTTTTGTTATTTAATGTTATTCAGTGTTATATCTGGTCTATATACTAGCTTTGATAGTGTTTGGTATTACTATAAATTTTCACTTCGTACTATGAACATCAAAATTATTTGTTTTGTTAAAATATTTCCTTTCTCTATTGGAACTATACACGTATACCTAACAACAAATATTTTTTCATTTACCTGTGTTTAAAGTTATTGCAAATGGCTGATATTTTTGTTAGAGCATATTGTTTTTCTTAAATTGTTTAACATTTCATACCGATATAACATGTTACTTTTATTATTCTTCCCTTAGTTTATTTATTTTGTATTTACATTGTATCATAGGTCAAATTTATTTGTTCAGTGTATGTTCACTGGTGTTAATATGTCCTTTGATTGAGTAAAGCTATTTCGGTTGATATTTTATAGTGTGTCTTTCTATGTTGTGATGTTACACTATTGTTTCAGAAAAAGGGTGAAGGTTTGGTACCATTAAAACGTTTAAACCCGCTGCATTTGTTTGCACCTGTCCTAAGTCAGGAATCTGATTTTCAGTAGTTGTCGTTTGTTGATGTGGTTCATAAGTGTTTCTCGTTTCTCGTTTTTTATATAGATTAGACCGTTGGTTTTCCCGTTTGAATGGTTTTACACTAGTAATTTTTGGGGCCCTTTATAGCTTACTGTTCGGTGTGAGCCAAAGCTCCGTGTTGAAGACCGTACTGTGACCTATAATGGTTTACTTTTATAAATTTTGACTTGGATGGAGAGTTGTCTCATTGGCACTCATACCACATCTTCTTATATCTATCTACATCTAATAACAAAACAATGACATTCATTTATAAAAGTGTCTTATTAATAAAGTTTCTGAATGATTTTCATGATATAAATACACCAATACAAGTCTTCTTTTATTGCAAACATAATTTATATAATATATGAATCAAATTTATACATGCATTGCATTAGGAAATAAATAAAGCACATTGGTAAAATAAGTAATATGGAGCACTATCTGTATAATGATGGAAAATACAACCTTTTCTATTTCAAAAGTCACAAAACATTATATTCACAAAGTCAAAAATTACAATATTTCACAAAGTCAAACAATCATTTGTGAGAACAGTCCACAAAAGAGTAAGAAATTATTAACAGCTTGGATGAATTGTAAAAATTGCTTAAAAAACTTATCAATCATGATTATTAATTGCAAGATATTTGATTGTTGTTGTTTTTTTAAAGAAGAAAATGCTAGCTTGGATGTAAATTACTGTGTCAATTGGAAAGCTTGGCTACTGAACAGTTGCATTTATACTTTATTTGTTAGAATTAATTGGAATTTTTTTTATATTAAAAATTCAGAACAGTGCATCATTAAAATTCAAAAAAAAATAAATAAGGTGAATATATAAAAAGAAATTTAAATGACACTTATTTTAATCTTAAGTTTCATTATTTTACTTTTTACGTATTTGTTTTTTCAGAATGAACCAACAATTAAAATAATTTGTTGATAAATTGTCAAAATAATAAACATTTTTGTATACATTTTTGTCTATATTTTTTTTTATATTTAACAAATCCAATACATTTTCCTGCTAAAAAAATATAAAATATAAAATATTTTTGCACTTTTTCCATGATTTAATAGCAGAATTAAGTATCTTTTATAAAATTTTACAGGTAAAATAAAGGTAAAAAATATGAGTATAATTCAGAAATAAACTATAATTGTTAAAACAACAAAACACCCTATGTTTTTATAAACCTGCATTAAAAGTGTGCAAACCAGGATGACACCCTTTTCAATATGTTGATGAGTTAAAAAAATATTTCGCAACACCTTTCTAAGGAATAACTGAACAAATAACTTTCATATTTCGTTTGCAGCTTGACAGTGACGAGTTGTAGTAATGAGTCTGATCGGTAAAATACTTACTTAATGTGTTCTGATACTACTGAATATAATAACTCCAGTCAGCAGATTTTCCACGATTAGTTGTAATGTGCGAGCGTTTTTCGGTTCTATCAGATAAATACTTCTTGTTTAACGATATTTTAAATTAACGAGTTGGGGTGCTATAAGCATATTTTCATCATTCTAGTCAGCGAACATCATAGAACTATAAAAAAAGAATATGCAAAAACCAGCAAATTTATTGAAAAACTTACTTAGTCTTGAGGGCCATGTAAGATTTTGCCATCCGTCTACTGTCTTTAACTTTTTCAAATATCTTCTTTTCTGAAACATTTAAATAATTTCAACCAAACTTGGAGTGAATGTTTCTTATGGTAACTAGTATAAAGTTTGTGTGTTTTTTTATCCAGTCAGTCACAAAACATGGCCACCATGGCTAAAAATAGAACATTGGAGTAAATGACATTAATTGTCTTTTAACTTGAAAACCATAACAGACGGGACAATATGACAGGGCAGAAATGCTCACGATGGCAAGATATTTCACCATAATTATCAGATGAATCCCATAGGAGTTATTGCACATCAATGTATTACGCGTTGTGGATATGTATGACAAAGATTGCATTTTGGTTGATGAATTGTATGTCATTATTGTTTAACTTCATCAAATAGTGATGTGATTTCTTTTGTTAAGGCAGCGACCACGATAGTATTATAAATATAGGCAACAGTAGTTAACCGATGTTCAAATGTAATAAATCGATTATGAAGACAAATCAAAGCAACAAACAAAAACTGAGGGAATCACGTGAACTGCAAAAGGAGCGAG